CTCTGTGTGTCAAAGTGAAAAATCTCACAAACATTGTGGCAGAAGATTGTGATCAGAGCCATTAAGGGCAGCAGAGAGAACTGGGTCAGCCATGGCCTTAGGGAAGTGGTTACACCTGTCTTTTGTTTTTCAGACTAAGCCCTAGGCTGAGGCTAGAGTTGGGGAGGAGGGCCCATCCTCCAGATCCTAAAGTCTGTGTTCATCTTCCTCTTCCTGGACCAGTCGCAGTGTCTGACCTCCCTCTTCCTTCAGTCCGCAGGCTCCCCTCTTCACTGGTTCCTCCTCATCTCCCAGTCTCCCCTGAATCCTATGGCCTGGCCTACTCCATGTCTTGATTTGAATGTCTGACGTCTCAAACTTGACCTGCCCCCAGCCAATGCATGTGATCTTCCCCCAAAACTTGTCCACTTGTAATCAATCCTGTGTCGTTTTTTTCTAGGCCAGAAGCCTTGGTGTCATCTTTGATGCCTTTCTTTCCCTCACCCCCCACATCCAATCCATTCCAGTGTCAGTTCTACCTTCAAAATATCTCCAGAATCTAACCGCTTCTCACCACCTCCATTGCTGCCACTTGGGTCAGAGCAACGATCATCTCTTGCTGGGACAGTTGCCATTGTCTCCTCACTGGTCTCCTTGCTCTGGCCTGGCCCCTTTCACTGCGTTGCTAACAGCGATCCTGCGCACACAGAGTTGGGTTGTGTAGTACACCCATTCAGAGCAGCAGCCAAGGCTGACTGTGGCCCACCAGGGCCCTTGGGATCTGGCTCCCTGCTGCACCTCTGGCCTCAACTATCATCACTCTCACCCGCTTGGCTTCAGCTACACTGGCCCCCTTGCTATTCTGAGTATGGATTGATTATTCTTGTTCCCAGACTCTAAGTGGAATTTTCCAAAGACTGAAGGGACTAAAACCCACCCAGGGATCCCGAAGCCTCTGGCTCAGACTGTCCACCCCTCAGCCCTCAAAGATGCTCTGACATCACTAGGGAGGTGGAGGCCACTGCCGACATGGGGTCTTGGACCTGGCCTTTCCCCTCCTTTGGGCCTCACTTCCCCAGTTTCCCTCTTCTACAGTGGCCGTACACCCAGATAGAAGACTTAATTTCCCAGCCTGCATTGCTTTTGGGAGTGGCAGTGTAACTAAACTCTGATCAATAAAACGTAAGTGAAAAGTGATGTATGAGATTTCTAGGAAGTCTCCTTAAAGGAAAAAGGTACATCCTTCACCTCCATCCTCTATTAGCTGCCTGGAACATAAATATGACAGCTGGGGTCCAGCATGTCCCCACACCCTGGGGATGGTGGAACTGAAAGCTGAAAGGAGCCTAGGCCCCTGATGTCTTTGTGGAGCCACCATTCCAGCCTGAAGTGCTGACCAGATAAGCTTCTATCTTGTAAAGCCACTGTTATCTTGGGGTTTTCTATTATTTGCAGCTGAACTGAATTCTGATTGAAACAGCTTCTGTGACACCTTACTCTCCTGGCCTCCCTCATCCTTATTCTCCTCTGCTGGCTCTTGCTCCTTGAGCATCCCTGCAGAGGGGAAATGTCCCAGGTGATGCCTTCAGACTCCTGTTCTTTCCATTCTCTTCTCTCTCTCTTATGAATTTGTTTGAGTTCCTTGGCTTTAAACACCAATCACAAATCTCTGTGTCCAGCCCAGACTGCCTGAGTTGCATATTCAGCAGTCCATTCAACATACATTTTTAAAATTAAAAAAAAAAAAATCGACTTTATTGACGTATAATTTTAACATATCTTATATGACACGCTGATGTCTAATAGACTCAAATTAAGCAGGCCATTTTGGAATTGTTGATCCCCTCTTCCCTCCAAATATGTTCCCCAGTCATCCCCAATCACTGGCTGCTCAAGCAAGAACCTGGGTGTTTCCCTTAATGCCTGGTTCCCTCACTGCCCACATTCAAGCCCGTCAGCAAGTCCTGATGGTTCTCTCTTCCTCTGCTTCTTGTCCAAGCCACCATCAGTTCTCACCTGGCTAAATGGTGATTCCACTTGCCCCCACATTCTCCACAGAACCACCAGAATGCAAAATTGGTGTAAATCTTTATAAATAATGACTTCAAAGATACTTCATGCTTGCGATGGGTTGCCTCTGGTATACACCTCCAGATTCACCCAGGAGTTCTAGATAATTCTCCTCTTTCTTTAGTTACGTCATTGGAAAAGGACTGAGCAGCACTGGTTTATCATATAAGCATATCTTTGGGTTGTTACAGACTTAATTTTTATCCAAATATTTGTATAAGAAAATCAAACAGCACTTTAAATACTTACAGCTGTTCCTTATGGTATTTACCTTCATGTTTCTAAACCCCATTCTTTTTGGTTATTTCTGGAGTCTTGAGTTCTTAGCATGAAAGGTGATTTGATTCTTACATCCCCCTTACCTTTCCCATCCCCTTAGCAGAGCTATAGCACTGTTCGGGGCTTATAGTATTCTGCCTGCGTAACTGTTACAGCTGAGCCACAATACTATACCCTGGATTTGCTTTTTATTGTGTAACTTTTTGTTGTTGTTGTTTTATTTTCTGGAATTTTGGCTTAAAAATTGTTCTGGACACTCAGATGTTTCAATCTGGAAATTCATGTACTTATTTCTGGAAAATTTTTGTGTAGTCTCTTGGCAATAATTTCCTCCCCCATTTTCTCATTCTGGAACTCCTGCTGATCAGATGTTGAGTATCTTAGACTGATCCTTTCTTTTCTTTTCTCTTCCATTTTCTTTCTTCCAGTTTCTAGATTTCCTCAACTTTATCTTGAAACCCTTTGTTGAATTTATTCCCTTTATATCTTTCAAGTGTTCTTCCTTCATCTCTGAATATTTTTGTTATAGCCTCCTACACTCTTTTAACCATGGCCTACAGGGCCATGTTGGTGGTTCTCAACCTTGGCTGCATGTCACAAAAACCTGGGGAGCTTTTAAAAAATACTGATGCCCAAGGCTCGCAGAGATTCTGATTTAATTGGTCTGGGGTGCGGTCCAAGCTTTGCTTTTTGTTTTTTTAATTGGCTGTGTCTCCACTAGAATGTAAGCTCTGTTGCTGTCTTCTCTATGTCTAGACTGAGACCTGGTACATAGTAGGCAGTCACTAGATAATTGTTGAATAAATGAATGAAGCACCATTTTGTAAAGATTACTGTGAAGTAATAAGATACAGGAATCTCCTAATGACACTTCCTCTAAATATATATGAAAACCTAATGCCTGAAAGTCAGACAATAGTCTTGCATGTCAAAAAGGTGTTCAGAACCCAAAGAGAGTTAACAAAATGGTATTCCCTGTTTCATTATGCCTTTTAGGCAGTCTTTAACAACATATTTTTTGTGAACTAGGATGTTAAAAAGGAGGCCTGGTGGCACAGTGGTTAAAGTGCTTGGCTGTGAATTAAAAGGTGGGTGGTTTGAACCCACCAGCGGCACTGCTGGAGAAAGATGTGGTAGTCTGCTTTAGTAAAGATTTACAACCCTGGAAACCCCATGGGGCAGTTCTGCTCTGCCCAATACGGTCGCTGAGTCACGATGGCAGCGTTTTTTTGTTGTTGTTGTTAAAGTGGAATTATCTTGGTCTCAATTTCACCTGAGGCCAAAGACAATAGTGGCCTTATGCCAAGGAGGAGCGTGTGACCATGCAGGACTGCTAAGCAAGGTGGCCCTAAGTGATTTTGCATTCTTGCCTGTTAGCCTATAAAAGAGCTGGAAAGTAGAGGACAACTTTTGGTGGCTGTTGATGTGCTGTCTCTACCTATGGAGGGAGGGGGTGAGGTGATGTGCTTCACCTTGAGTCAACAGAGGGAGTGTATGTGGAGGGGACCCTGAGAACCAGGGGCCAAAGGACACACTGCAAGGGGCCAGCCAGAGTGAGTGCACCACCCAAAGTAACGGAACTGCAGGTGGGAGACACCCAACAGAAGGGGGCAGGGCTGATAAGGGGATGCCTTTGAAAACTCATGAAAAATACACCGGAAGCACAAGGTTCAGCTTTAAACACATGCCAGGCTCAGGGAGTCACAACAGTCCTAGTCACGTATAAAGTTTCATCTCCCCCTCTCAGCAGCATGGTGCGAAAGAGGTGAGAGCGCAAGGTGAGGAGACAAGGCCGAGCCAGACTTGCCTTCCCATTGCGGAGGGCTAAGCTTGCAGGGGGCCAGGAAGGGAAAGGCAGCTATTTCCAAATGCAGCTCCAAGGTTCTCTTAACTGCGCTGGACTGGACATATCATTTCTCAGTACCTGAAAGTGATGGGAAAAGCCACGGGACTTGTAACCTGCTCCAGAGACCGGATTTAAAGGGCCAGTTGGAGATCAGCATAGTTGTCTTTTGATCTAGTTCAACTTGTTTAACATAATGGTGGGACTAGCAGGTTGCCTGTGGTCTGTTATAGTGTTTCCTTCTCAATTGAATATACGACTGATCAGCTTAAGTTTATTGACATTGATTTTGCCTACCAACTTGAAGTTTGGCAGCTGAACCACTTCTTCCTGCTGCAATGATGGCGTTTATGAGCCCTCCATTTCTAACTCCCTCCGCCCTGCTTATCTGGCAAGTAGAGACAAACCAGAATCTGAATTTGTTGTGCAAAACTGGCTTGGGATTCTCAATTTAAAAAAGGTTCTAATGTGCAGTTGGATTGAGAGTCAAACATACGAAAGATTATGGAGAAAACCCACAACTCGTTTTATTTCTGGAATGTTTTAAAAATACATTTTTGGAGAAAAGGCAGTACCAGCTCACAGAATGCCAGGACAGAATGCCAGGACTCAGGCACAGTGGCAGGTGCTGAGGTGGAGGCATGGACGGATGGAGGCGATGGCCACCGCTTCCCTGAACTGCTGGCCCCCTGCTCAAGGACCCCAGCCAAGAGCTGTACCATTGAGGGTAAAAATCACACCTGAAGAGAATTAAATGGGTTCCTGTGGGGAGGGGGGATGGGGATTGGGAAGAAGCCCAAATGCTTCCTGGGGTGATGTTATTTTGAAAGGTGGGTTGAGTTGTACAGGTGTAAGCATTTATCAAAAACCACTGACTTACACTTAAGATTTGTGCATTTCACCATATGTAATTTTACCACCCCCAAAGTAAGCAAATATAAACTGATGATGCATTTAGGAGGGTATATGCTACATGCAACATACTTGAAATGCATCAGAAAGTAAGACGTATGGATGGAGGAATGGATAGCTGTGTGATAAATACAGCAATGTTAATTGCAGAATTTTGGTGGAGGGTATACAATTTCAGCTTTTCTGTATGTTTGAAAATTTTCATAACAAAATGCTGGGGGTGGGCACACCTGCGCTGTTACTTTAGTACAAACCACGCCCCTCCCTGCACACCCAGGACAGCTGTTAGTATTCCCATACACTTGCTACTTTCAAGTACAGAAACACTAGGATTTTTGCACATGTAATATTCCAATTTTTAAAATTTGAATTTTTACTTCTTAAGATGTGTCTAGAGTTATACATGCTACATTAAAAGCTTCAATCTATCCAAGGTGGGATCCTGTGGGAAACCTTCCAACGTTTGCAATCCCATTGCCGAGGTGACTGGGGCAGTGCCGGTGGCTTACTGGTTAAGAGCTCGGCTGCTAATCAAAAGGTCGGCATTTCATATCCACCAGCCCCTCCTCGGAAACCTATGGAGCAGTTCTGCTTTGTCCTGTAGGGTTGCTGTGAGTTGGAACTGACTAGACAGCACCTAACAACAACAACACAGGTGACTGGGAGGCAGGATGTCTTCATGAGTCAGCTGGTTTTTCCCACAGCCAGACTAAGCCTGTGTTCTTCCCTAGGACCTTGATGGAGGAGTGTTAGCATGGGACCTTTAAAACTACAAGAGGGTGTGGCAGGGGGACTAAGGAAAAGGAGGCCCCAGAACCTATTGCTAGCCTGTCCCAGAGCCAGACCCCTTGGTCCCCTAGGGAGAGGCCCATCCCTCTCTGTTTCTCCTCCCGGGTAGCCATCTTGGAACCTGACTTCACCTCCCAGGATAACTCATTTTAACCAGACCCAGTATCCTTCTTGCCTCAAGCCAGAAGGACCAGGAACGTCAGACTTGAATCCTGGCCTCAAACAGCTTCTGAGAACAAAGGGAAGATACTGGTGGTCATACCTCACTTTGTTTTAAAACAATGCATTTACCGATAGAGTCATTTTGCTCAGTTCTGCAATCACCCTCCCCTCGGTGTGCTGCTTGAGTCCACAGGACTGGGGAAGCATGCAGTGATTGCCCAGAGAATTAATTTAAAGACTTGAGGAAAGTTATTTAAAAGTTATCTTACATTAAGACAAACATGGATATAATATGGAGTGGAAAATCCCTATGATCTTTAGTTGAAATAGGTTTTGAAGAAATTTTGCTGAGCCTTTACAGACCATACCCCTAGGCTCTCAAGGGCATGTTTTACTCCCCTGATAACCATTAAGGAAACTTCACTGGAAAGCTGGAGAAGTACTTTTGCTAGATGGAAGAACTCATGTTGTAGACAGCAGCTGCTTTTGGGGAAGGAAGGACAATGAAGGGGGTTTCAAGGTTTTGAATCTTTTTTGTGTATTAAGAAACAAAAGACAAAGAAAAACCTAATAAAAAAATAAATACATGTGGCTTCTTTGGAGGGGGGAGAAAGCCAGAGTGCTGCTGGGTGGCAGGTTCCTGCTCAGAACCCTGGACAAGTCTAAGGGAAGGCAGACGTTTGTCCAGGATGGACTCACTCAGGTGCACAAGACTAGCCAGTATTTCTGGGGAAGGCAGAGTGGGAAGACAGAGCTTTTTGAGTCTCCTGGCTGAGACCTCAGGCAAGCCCTTCTCAACCCTGCTGTCCTCATCTTTAAGATGGCTTTACCACCCTGTCTGCAGAGGGTACTGTGAGGGTAGTAGGAACTGCAGTTTGTAACACACCTGGCGCATTCTGGGTCTTCAATGTCATTCCCTTTGACTTCCCCCAGTGCAGTTTAATAGGGGAAAAACTTTTGTAACATTGGTGGGAGTGGAAAATAACAAAAGGGGTGTCTAGAACAAGAGGCCCAGAAGCCAGGGTACCAATTCTGTAGCAAGCCGAGTTCAGTGAGTGAGCCACAGGCACAGTAAGGAGCAAGCCTCTCAGTAGCCAAGCTACACACCAGGAGCTGAAAGAGGCAGCAGGTCGTCAGACTATGTGGTTACCCAGGAAGAGAGGCCTTTTCAACCTAGTATTTAAAAACACAACAGCACGGCAACAAGCATTTTCGTTATTTTTAGTTAAAGAAAAACAGCCTTTTCCAAGGACAAGTGAGCTGAAGGTCAGGAGGAAGCCGAGTATGGCTTCAAACTACTCCAGCAACAATCAGAGAGTGAGTCCTCCTAGAGGGAACTCCGAGCAGTTGGCGCAGCATGGGGATTCCTTTGATGGGGGGAGAGGGGCAGCCAGCCCACCCTTGGTCACTAGATTGGTGCGAGTGAGCTCTTAGGTGATTTCCACTTGTGGCTGGGTGACATGACTAGCACTAGTCTTCTTGGGGGCATTAAATTAAGGAAGAACACAGGGCGCCAAGGGAGTGGCTTATTCAGTTGGATTCTGAATCACAATCAGGAAATAGTCTTTATCTGCAAAAGAGAAAAATAAGAACAAATCACTAAAAGTAAAAGGAGGGAAAAACACAAGAAAACATTGTTTAAGTCACTAAACATAAAAAGCATCACACAAAACAGAGGCAGAGATTGGAGTGATGTGTCTGCAAGCCAAGTAATGCCAAAGATGACCAGGAACCATCAGAAGCTAGGAAGAGGCAAGAGAGGATCTTCCCTGCGAGCCTTCAGAGAGAGCACACGGCTCTGCTGAGCCTTTACAGACCATACCCGTAGGCTCTCAAGGGCTGACACCTGTAATTCAGACCATACACAATAAAGCAGAACTGCCCCAGAGGATTTCCAAGGCTGTAAATCTTTACGGAAGCAGACTGCCCTATCTTTCTCCTGTGGAAGGCCTGATGAATTCGAACTGTCAACCTTTCACCTAGCAGCCGAGTGCATAATGACTGCACCACCAGGGCTCCTCACCTGCAGGGCTGGCTAAAACATTCACTGGTACGTCCACTGATACGTCCACCCCAGAGTTTCTGCTTCAGTAAGTATGGGGTGGGGCCCAGTAATTTGCATTTCTAACAAGTTCCCAGGTGATGCTGATGCTGCCGCTTCTGGGAGAACCACTAGCCCTAAGGACACACAGCTAGTTAGTGGCAAAGAAGGAATTCCAACCTCAACGCCACTGGTCCGGGGTTCATGTCATTTTCTGTCACAAGCTCAGCTTCTGGCCTTCCAGAGCATTCTAGACAAATTTCCAAGGGCACCAGGTTGAAGGAGGCCAAAGCTGCGTGGATTCCAGCTCTGGGGATCCCGCGTAGCAAGGCGGAATGTCCTTCATGAAATCACAGGATGTTCAAGCCAGAGTGGATTTCAGAGGTGAGCCTGACTGCCCTTCATAGAAAACTGGAGAAGCAGGAAGCTCCAACTCTGCCCACCTAAACTTAAAAACCACAAACCTTTATTAAGACTTCCATGTGCCCTGCACTGGACTGACCACTTCTCATGTTACCTCAGTGAGTCCTCAAACCAGGAGGATTCTGAGGAAGGTACTAGTGTTTTCCCATTTTACAAATGAGAACACGGAGGCTCAGAGTTAAATGACTTTCTAACATGCAGTGGGAGCTGGGTTTGGCCTCTAGTCTGATGCCTCCCTGCTGAACATCAGAGAAATGGCAAGACATCAGCCATGTCTGGTTTGTGTCTGCCCAGATTCAAGCCTAAAGCTTGGTTCTTCCCATGATGATGGGCTGCTGAAACTGGGAAGAAACTAGTTTCATGGCTAAGCAGCCAACATAAAGTTTTAAAAAATCACTAGTAAAAATAGAATTAAACCACTGATAAAAACAGATACAATCAATAATACTAGTATTTTTCATTCCATATTATCAAGCTCTAAATCCAACAATACCACTTTAAGTTCTTTGTGGCATGTAGCTGGTTAAAGTTTGTTTATGCTGAGATAACTCAGATGTGTATCAGTGACGTTAATAAGTGAAAACCAAGTCTCTTCAGGTGGGCTGCTCTGGGCGGGAAGGAGTTAGATTAGGTACATACGTGGAGGGCCAAACTGTCTGAAACCACCTGATGGTATTTTTTGCCTGGAAGTCACTTCTCAGTGTGATGAAGAGCCAGAGTAGGAGGGTAGAAAGGGAGCGAGAACCTCCGTCTTTGGCAGGGCTGCTCCCAGGTTGCTCACACTTGTGTAGGTATTGATTGAAACGGGCAGCTGCTAGGCCTGTTGGGGTGGGGCGGAGGGATAGGCAGGCTGCCCTGTGGGGCCTGGGCTTCATGGAAATCCCAAGGCAGTCTTGCCCCAGTGCCTCAGAGGTTCTGGTCAGTAGCTCTTGCCCATAGGAGTTCTGGCACCAAAACTGGTATTTTTCCTTGGCCACATCAAAGTGAGCGTTCAAAGTGTCAAATCACTTAGTTTCCATCCTACACAATCCTTGCCCCTGTCCCCACTGCTGACCCCACTTCTGATCTTCAAAGGGGGGGGGGGAGGGGTACCAGCAATGGAGGGAGGTTTAGAGAGTCGTTGACTCATTCATTAAACAAATAAACCTGTTAAATACCTACTAGCTGCAAAGCTCTGAGACAAGTCCTTGCCCTCAGGGAACTTACTGTCTAGTAGGGGAGAAAGACAAAATAAATACAGCTGATTCTCATTATTCACAGTAGTTATATCCTATAAAGTAGTAAATACTGCATGAATATTTGAACCAGTGCTCCTAGAGGAAACACAGGGTTATGTTCCTCCAAGCTCTAGTCACAACATTTTCATCAGCCCATCAATACATAATCTTGTTTTATCTGTTTATTAAAATAAACATGGCTTATTTATAAATAATAACATTGAACTCACAAACAATGGCGCTATAACTCATGCCTGAACGAAGCTTATCTAACACACTTATTTACACTTATTTTCTCCGTACGACACATCACCACCTTCTTGTATTTACGAACAAAAGACAGCACTTCAGCACTATGCTTAGGGGCCATTTTAAACAGCAAAATCACCAACAAAAAGCACAAAAATGTGAAAAACGTGACACTAAATAGACCGCAACAATGACAACTGTTTACACTCAGGGCTGAAAGAAGAAGGCAGACTGTCGCCTTGTTCACTGGGAACGTGTGTTGGGCCACTCAAATTTTCCACCGCTCTGTATATGTCCACGAATGACTGTGAATATTGATTTGGGGGCTGCAAATTTAGCTAGTAGACAAATTCACAAATAACAGAATCTGCAAATAATGAGAATGGACTATACATAATAGAATTCCAAATCATGACTATGGGAAGGATAGGCTGCTTGGAGGAAGTATGAACAGTGGGTGTCCTACACTTCATATGGACTGGTGGAGTCGTGAGGGGGCCCCTCTCTGGGGAAGTGGCACTTAATCATAGACCTATTGGATAAGCAAGCTGGCTAGCCATGTGAAAAGGAAGGACGGGAGCCCTGTGAGGGCCCTGAGGGAGGAGTCTGACTCTGGAGGTTCTGAGAGGCAGCAGTGTGGCTACAGCACAGCAGGGAGGGTGTTCAGAGAAATCACGCATTCCTTGTTTTTAAGGCAACCTCGAAATGTCACCCCCTCAGCATATGAAGATGTGGGGAGAGGTGGGAGTGAGAAAGGGAAGAGCTCACACTCCCTGTTGCCCCGGTAAGGATCTGGCCACCTCACTCCTGCCTCCACTTACAAGGCTATGGGGCTTCTGGGGCTGTGAACCCTGAGGACAACCTCTAACTCGGGAATTTCTGATCTCCAGGACAAGTGCACCAGCCACACTCACGGGCTTTGCATACCCTGTGGATCCTCAAGGCCAATCAGAGATGCCTTTACTGCTGAGCTGAGAAATAAATGGCCAGGAGCTTTCAGATTACTCTGATGCTCCAAAGAAGGCATTTTCAGAAGCTTTAAGCCAAGAGACACAGATAGTTTGATTTGGAGATCACATGATTTGTCCTTGCTGCACATTCTGAGCACCCACGTGGGTCACCGGGGACCATAGGTTCTGCTCTCACACACAGGTTGCATAGAGGAACCATTTCTAGCCCGACTTTTAAAGAAGTGGAGATTTGTCCAGGGAGGCTGTGGGCACTTGAGACTGGCTCTATGGTTCCCTCACATCCTTCTAAGCAGCTGGACTGGGCCTGAGTAGGCCTGGGAACAGAACCAATGTCACTCTGCTGCTGGGAGTGGCTGAGCTCCCCCTCTCCTTCAAATTCATCTCCGAACTCTGCAGCCAGCCTCCTTACCATCTGTGTTGCCAAGCCCAAGGGTATCAAGTGTCCCAGCCACCCCACTGCTCTCCTTCATCTAGCCTGTAAACACAATCCTATCACCTCCTGCCCTAAAAACCTCTGCTCACAGGATCAAGTCCACACACAGCTGAGTGTGGTGTTTGAGGCCCCTTTTTTCTAAACTAGGCCCAACGTCTTACCTCCCACTCCTTCCTACACATACTTTGATGCCCTAGACAAGCTGTGCTGCCACCTAACTGCATCAACACAGGAACGCTCTACTTAAGCAAATTCAACATGGTTCAGCCAAAAAAGGAGAGGGAGATGGAGAAGGAAGAATAAATAGTCTCAGCAAGTCTGTCCACCCCTCCAGTCTGTCAATGTGACTGAGGTGAGGCAGGGTAGGACAGGTGGCCCTACTGTTCCCTCTTGTGGTCCCAGTCCTGTGGATGAGCTCTCGTCATCCTGGTAGTGACTCTCAGGCCTAGGGACAGGTACCGTTTGTACTACATACCTCCCAAATGCAAGCCAAGAACTTCTTACAAAGCAACACCAGCAATCGGTTCCCAAGCTGGAGGAAAATCAGTTGTATCCGCTTAAGAAGCAAGACTGTACTTCATAAATGAACAAAAAATTTCCAAGGATAAAACAACTGTGTAGTGTTTTTTGCCTTGCACCTCGGTTTAGAACCACTGAATTATTTTTCCTCCAAATATGGCTTTCCTACCTCTCCACCTTGCTCACAGTTTCCTGGTGCCTTCAAGATTCAGCTCAATGTCACCTTTCCTGGGAAGTCTTCTGCTGACAGCACCAGGCAGTCCTAATTACACCCTCCTCTAAGTTCCCAAGTTGCCCCTGGCATTTCCCGTCAAGGCAAGGGTTACGCTGTTATGCTTATGTGTCTATCTCCGTCATGAGACCATGATTCCCCTGTGTGGCCTAGAGTCCCTGTAAATGAGTGTTCGTCAGGAGCTGCCAGCCAGAGACTGGCCAGGCAATGAGGCAATCGATGTTCCCTTTCACTCTTCAGTCTTTCTGTAGAACCTCTGGAGACTCCACTGTACTGTTTTCCTGATAAGCTACAGAGAATCTGCTGGGAGGGTCTTCCCCTAAGTGGAGACATGGACGACTCCTTACCTGGTGCAACCATAATTTCATTTTTCTTGGAGCGAATTCGAAGGAAGGTGAGGTCATTTTGGGGGTCAATTTCACGCACGGTGCTCCGTGCCTTCAAGATGAAGTTGTGCATGAGGTTGGCATACTGTGTGGTAGTAGAATTGTCCATGGTGCTCTTGATGGGAATGCCTGAGGGGAGAGCAAACAGAGACCAGGTGGGAGCACTGGGGCCCCTTTCTGCTGAGCTCCCAACCCCACTTCCCCTAATTCTACAGTATCAGACTGGCAGTAACAATCAGTGACACTGTACTGAGGGCTTGCTATTTCAGCGCCAATCTCCTGAACTACATCACCATCTTCATTCACTGATGAGGCCATGGAAGTGAGTGGTGAGGTGACCTGCCTAAGGCCACAAAGCAGATAAGCAGTGGGGCCAGGATTTGAATGCAGGCTCAACTGCTGGGCTCCTTTCACAAGGGTCCTGCCTTACCTGGTTTCCAGGAATAAAAAGGATTATCATTTATAATGCTTAGAACCTGGACCAGGAGGACAGCTCTTACAAATCCTTAAGTACTGAAAAGCAGAAAGAAGAAAAAAGGTCAGCTTGTGCCAAGTACATCACCATTACTAGTGTTCTGCTCCAGTTCCCACCCAAGGGAAGCTTAGGACCCATTGTAAGCACACTGAATATACACATGATCATGCCCCCAAATTAATGTTTCCATGTTTGTAGAAACCCTTTGTAAACAGCACTCCTCCTGGCTTCAGAGATCCCATTAAGTGGACATTGCACAGAGTTACTGCTGGACATTCCCCTACTGTTGAGTATTTAGACTGGATTTTTTTACTAGTATAATTAACTCTGCAATGAACATTGTTGTGCATCAAGCCTTTTCTGTTTTGAGGACTCTTTTCCTCAGATGACCTATTAAATGGACCTCCCTCTGTGGACTGCCTGTTGTCATGGGTCCTCAGGTAGGTGCCTGTGAATCAGCCATGACACATTAGCAGTAGGTTCTTTTCATGAGGTCTCAAGAGACAACCAGTTGACATTCAGTTGTGAAAAACGTGGCTCCTCACATGTAAGTGGCCAGGTTTTGGGCCCAGGACCCTGCTAATCTGGCCCACAATTGATCAGCCTAAGGGTCAGCCAAATGCAGTCATCCTCAGCCTACTCAGTGGGTGGCAAGAAACTAGCCCAACCTTGTTCGGGCACCAGGAACACAAGAGTGGCAGAAGAGGGGGACACAGCGGTAGCAGAAGCAGAAATCAGGCAGGCTGTTCTGAGCCAAGTCATGAGAATGGGTCAAAGTGGCCACTCATCTTTAATGGACAAGGTGAACACGTCACCAGGGCTGCTGCTGGGTCCCAGATGGCAACAAAATGCACACCAAGGCCCCATGAGGCCTCACTCTATAGCTGTACCTTCCTGAGGATGGCAGTATGAGCAGTGTGTCCATCAAACTCTATCTACAATTAGGGTAATGATTAAAGAGTTAAGAGCTCTGAAATATGATGACCTGGGTTTACACGCCAGCTCTGGCCCTTAATGGTCACGTGGCCTTAGGCAAGCGATTTAACCTTTATGAGTTGGAAAAGACTCGATGGCAGTGGGTTTTTTAAGTCTTCATTTTCTCATTTCGTAATCTGTAAACAACAGCTTCAAAATGATGCTGTAAAGACTGCTGTAGGCCTTGAGTCATGGCAACCCCATGCACAACAGAACAAAATCCTGCCTGGTCTTGTGCCATTCCCATGATCAGTCGCGGATTGGACTGTTGTGATCCACAGGGTTTTCACTGGCTGATTTTTCATAAGTAAATCAGCAGGCCTTTTTTCCTAGTCTGTCTTAGACTGGAAGCTCCGCTGAAACCTGAAATCATAGCAACACGCAAGCCTCCACTGACAGACTGAGAACCTGGGACTCCTGCATGGAAGGCAAGAATTCTATACCACTGAGCTACCACTGCCCATGCTGTGAGAATTAAATATGGCTTAATTCATATAAGTGATTAGCAAAGAGCACTTAATAAATGTTAGTTTGTTATCAACATCACTCACACAATAAACCCCATTCCCCAGATAACCTGAGGGGACATTCTTGTACCTGAAACAGCCTTTCTAACACAGGGCCCACCTGCTGAGGGCAAGGACAAGAGCCTGGATGGAACAGGACCCTGGACTGGCTGTCCTGCTGTTTGGCAGGGAACTCTCCCCTCAGCTCACCTTTGGGGGTCTGATGGTAATAAGACTTAACTGTCTCAAGGCTTGGGCAATCAAACACCTTGACCGTTTATACACAAAGCTGCCTTCTTTCAAGTCCCTCTGCCTGGAACATTTCTTTCTTCCCCTAGTCATTCATGACTCCCACTGATTCCTCAGGTCTCCGCCTCCTGATACTCTCAGCCATCCCTAGACATGGTCAGTGCCCACCTCTACCATCCCAGCACGATGCAGTTTTCCTTCAGAGCAGTAACCAGAGTGTGACATCACACCTTAAGGGAAGTGATCATCATCTGTAAGCTCCTGGAGAGCCAGGATCAGCTGTCTGGCTCACCAGTGTCTTTGCGGACCACAACAAGCTGTTGCTAAATGAGGGGATCACAAGGGTTACTTTCAGTAGTTCAGACAAGTACTGGTGTGAGTTTGACCACATTTCTACCAAGTGGGAAGGGTATGTAAAGGGGACAAACAACCATTTGTTGGCTCCCTCTAAAAGCAAAACGTGGAGGTGGGGCAAGGCCCAAAACTGGAGAGAATTTCAAACAAGAATAAGATCAATGGAAGCCAGAGCTGGAGGAGACCACAAAGATGGTCTAATAATCAGGCCACCTAATCCAAACCTCTGCTGTCACAGGTGGGGAATATGCAGCCCACAGAGAAGTGGCTGGTCACCAGCATACATGGTTTCTAACCTGGGGTTGTGTAGCCAAGGCCCTCTCACCACACCCAGCTGCTTCAGTGAAAAATAAAAAACATTAAAAAATTTAACAGATATTTGTTAAGCACCAACTATGTGCCAACATTGTTCTAGTTCCTGGGGATACAGTAAAAAAACCAAACCCGTTGCCACTGCGTTGATTCTGACTCATAGCGACCCTACAGGACAGGGTAGAATTGACCCATAGGGTTTCCAAGGAGTGGCTGGTGGATTCGAACTGCTGACCCTTTGGTTAGCAGTCAAGCTCTTAATCACTGCACCAGTGAACACAAAAGACAAATCCCTACCCTTTAGAACTTATACTTCTGCCATATGTTGGTAGCAGCAGACGGTGGCAGAGGTCTGGAGAGATATAAATAGAATCGAATGTTACTTAACTTCTTGGTAAAGCTGCTTAAACTCACACTTTTATTATGAAACACCAGTTGAATTCTAGTTGAATCTGGCCAAGGCAGAGGTGTCAGGAGGCAGTGGCAGGTGGTTGGTAAGTGACTGGGACAAAGATGTGTCATGGGTTCAGAGGCGGGAGCAATCATTCTGAGTTGGGGTGGTCAGGGGACGCATCCTGAAGGAAGAGACATCTAGCCGAATCATGGGGTGGGAAAACCCTAGATAAGAGATCCCTAATATGAACATCTCTAAATAATCATCTTTAATTGATGCTTCTAGAAGAGCCCTGGTGGTGCAATAGTTAAGCGCTCGGCTGCTAACCGAAGGGTCAGTGGTTCTAACCCACAAGTGGCTCCGCAGAAAAAAAGACCTGGTGATCTGCTCCCATAAAGATTGCAGCCTCAGAAACCCTATGGGACAGTTCTACTTTGCCACATGGGGTCGTTACAAGTTGGAATTGACTCGATGGCACACAACAACAGAGGGCTAAAAGGCCCCATGGAGCAGTGGGAAAAGTAATCAACCCAGAATCTCTGTTCTGACTACCCCCCTCCACAGCTAGGTAACTTTGGGAAGGTCACCTCATCTCTCTCAGCCTCAGGTTCACCTGAAAAATGGACAAACATCTCTTCCTTGCAGGGTCACTATGTGAAATGTAAAGACCAAAGTAGAAGCTCTGTGAGTGGGTTACAAATTAAATGTACATAAGACACACACACACAATTGTTAACATTTATATGGCATGTACTATGCACTAGTAAAGGGACTGACACGGTGACTGCAACAATGGGCTCAAGCATAACAATGATTGTGAGGACGGCCCAGGACTGGGCAGTGTTTTGTTCCGTTGTACACAGGGTTGCTATGAGTTGGAACCAACTTGATGGCACCTAACAACAATAACATGTACCAGGCACTGTTCTAAAAGCTTCCCTTTGAGAAAGTGTAGTATTAGCCACATTTTACAAATGAGGAAACTGGAACAGTGCTTAAGTGACTTGCCCAAGGTTACGCAGCTGATATGTAGCAGAGCCAGGCAGCCTGGTTTGGCATTCTGTATTTTTAGCCACTGTGCTATACTGCCTCGTTAGTACCCAAAGAGAAGTGCTCATCAGTACCCAAAAAAAGGTAAGCAGTTATGCTAGATTTCTCAGTGAAAGAGCTCAACTTTAGAGGCAGTTTTATGGCCAAGAATGAAGGCTTGTGGCTTGCCAGTACTGGTGGAAACCTAGGGGCCTGGGGCAGTTGGGCCTGGGGCTGCTCCCTCCCCATTTGGGGTCCAAATGTTGAGTCGAAGAAACCCTCTAAGTGACACACAGTTTTTCAAGTCTTAGAGCAAGAAGTGCCCAAAAGAGATCACCTAGACCAACTACTCCACTCGGGGCAGGTGAGACCTGAAGAAGGGAAGGGACTTGCCCCAGGTCACTGAGTTGGTCAGTGTCAGACCTGAGATGGGGGCCTGTTCCTGCCTTCCACTGTATCCTGAGGGCCTACAACCTCCTGCCTCCTTTAAATGCAATGACCACATGGCTTAATGAGGGTCTGGCAAAGCTGGGAGCATTCTGCCTAGCTTTGGGCTGGTTTGGACTCTGGCAGCCTAGAAACAACATTTTAGCCGAGGACATGCCACCTCCACTTTGTTGCCTTTGGTGACTTTTATCCTGCTCTAGTTAAGCAGGTACTGTTGAGAATCCTGCCTTTCCAAGCAAGGCCTAGAATGCCAACATACACATACAGGGTCTCTTTCAGAGTCCCAGATAAATCAGACTGACTGAATACAGTGGGATAGAGAACTGGGGGAGCCTGGCAATAGGTGGATGACCCTGGGCATGGCCCCAACCTCTGAGATGTCTACAGCTGTGTCTGTAAAGGTGACAGTACCCATGTCTACAGGGCTGTCAGACTGAACTAGAAATCAGACCACACCCAGCAGAGCGCCAGGCACATGGCAGGTGCACAGTTAATGTCGTATCACCTCCATTCAGAGGGCTACTCATAACCCGGCCTGGGAGAGCAGACCCTCTGCTAGGCACAGTCCAATCTAGGACATATTACTTAACTTCTCTGAGTCTCAATTTCCTTATAAATAAAATGAGTTGTTGTGAAGATTAAATATCAACGGCCTAGCTTCCTAAGAGAGAGGCATCCGAGGGGACCTTGAAAGGTGGGTAACATTTGGATCAGTAGAGGGAAAACATTTGAGGTGGGAGTAAAAGCAAGAGCTAAAGCAAGAAGATTTAACAACAAGCACGCACCCTGGGGTACACGGTAAACAGAAGGATTCCTGGGTCTCACCTTAGGCCTAGTAAGTCAAACTTTATAGGGAGGGGCCTATAAAGCTGTGTTTTGAGCCCTACGTGATTCCAGTGAATGGATAAACGTGGGAAATACTGTGTCCTAGAGGCATGAAGCATGTGAGTTCCGCACAACAAGGAGAGAACTTGACCAGGAAAATGGGTTTATGTAAACAAATGCTGAGCTCAGAAGTGATGGAGACAATTTTAGTAAGAGCAGCCACTAATCTTTACTGAGCACTTGGTGTGTATTAGGTCCTGTGCGAAATACTTTACGTTGTTCGTTTTTAGTTAATTTTTACAACTTTATAAGGTAGATCTAATTATTATCCACCTTTACAGAGTTAAGTGACTTGCTGAAGGTCACACATCTAGTAAGGAGGGGAGCCAGGATTCAAACTCAGGACTGCTGGGTTCCAGAGCCCTTGCTCTTAACTGCAGCCTAGAGTGCCAGGGTCTAGGGTCACAGACCAGCAGGCACGCTCTGTTCCCTTACAGCACAGTGTGGGAGAAAGAATACAATTTTGCACTCCGACAGACTTGGATTTAAATCTTGGCTCTGAGACCCAGGTGTATCAATCAAATTTCTAGGCTGTTTTTTCCATTGCAAAATGGAGACAACAGGGTGCTTTAAGGAATGAATGAAACAATGTGTTTGTACAGCACCAGTCCATGGCCTGGCAGAGTAAGTGTGTGACAGATGTTAGCTTCCTTCTTCACAATATGGAGTACAGTTTGGGAATATTAGTACTTATACTAAAATAAGGAACTGAAATAATCTCTCAGAAGCAGGGGGAGCTATAGGCACAAAGAAGTTGACTACAGTATTATCTAACAAAAAAGTAGAAACAACATAAATGGGGGGGGTAGTTAATAAATATATATATAAATACATATATATATCTATATATAATACAGAGCACTGGTAGAGTAGTTGTTAAGAGCTCAGCTGCTAACCAAAAGGTCGGCAGTTCAAATCTACCAGCCGCTCCTTGGAAACCCTATAGGGCAGTTCTACTCTGTCCTGTAGAGTTGCTATGAGTCAGAATTGATTTGACGGCAACAGGTTTGGTTGCTTTTTATATATATATATGATATGTATTATACTGGCAGTTAAAAAATTTGCTTATGTAAACCATAAATAGTATTTTAAAAAAGGCTCATGTGTAAACATAAGCAAGAGTAACAACTCTGAAAATGACCATGAGAAAACGTGTCTGGACAAGGGCTGAAAGCATGGAGTAATTGAAATGTGTGATTTTGTCAGATCAGTGGGACTGAATTTTTCTTTTTTAAAATTTAGAATTCCAATAATAGTACTAGAGCATTGGAAGTATTAAAAAAAAAAGCTTAAAATGAGATCATGTACTTGAAGAGCTAAGTAAATAGCAAGTGTCATGCTGTGTTTGGGCTGTTTTCTGGGGGCTTGCTGGGTACAGGGCAGGGCTAGAGGGAGGGCATACCTTCTGTGTTCACCACAATGATTCCCTGCACACCCTTCTGGCTCTGAAGTCGCTTTAGGGTTTCTTCCACCTCTGCCTGCAGAGAGAACCAAATCAAGATTAGGAGGGGCCAGGTAGGCTGGATTAAGTCCCTTATACCCCAGGCAGATGAATCACACATTTAACTCCCAACAATAAACAAGTAACACCCAGTCACTTGACAACTCCTCAAAGCTTCCAAGCCTGTTTGGAATGGTCCCTACATCACCACTAGCACCTAAAGCATCTGCTTACACCTCCAGCATAGGGTAGGGGTGCTCTACGCCCTTTGCCTACCAGGCACTCTTAAGCTGTCCCTCCTTCAACTGTTTGGGAGCAGAAAATAAATACCATTCCTAGGAGTACGTACATATTCATGACTCACATATTTGGTAGCTGGGGGACAGGACTCCAATGATTTGAAAAAAAAATTCCAAACAGTGGTATCTAATGGGAAGGAGACACTATCATCTGTGGCCCAAACAGCACAACTGAAAACATCCCGAAGGAAGCAAAATAACCTCATGAGGATAGAATAAGTGAATTAGTAAGTTGGCATCTGAGATACCGTGACACATGGCGCACAGCCCCAGGAAATGTGCTCGTTAATACTTATTTCTAGAAATTAGTCAGGGTAGGATACTCTGGCACGTGGAATTTGTTAACAGAGAGGACCATCAGACGTTTGGGTCCTCACCCTGCCATGCAAGGCCTTCTACATTATCACACCAACTTCTCTGACCTGTTACATTTCCTCCCTCTCCATCCACATGCCCAAACTTCCCTGCCTCCACATCCTTCTACCCTAACAAGGCCTCTTCTCTGCTGAAATTGAACACATTCTTCTAAACTGTCTAAGACATCACCTCCTCCGTGAAGGCTTTACTGATCTCCAACTCAATGGAATTTTGTCCACCTCTGACTCCCCAAACTCTGGCTATACTCTCTGGGGCATGTATTAGGTACTGTGTTTACAGAGTTTCTACAATGGTCTGCAGAGTAGGGGCTCAATAAATAGCTGCTTAACTGAACTAGGCCTAACCCCTTCTATGGATGGAAACTGGCCTTGAAGTGTACTTGCTCAGGAAGCATCCACCCCCCACAAGATTGGCCCAGAATTCAGCCAGAGGCTCCTCAGAGGCTGAGTCAGATTCTGTTGGGAACAGAGGCTTCATTCACCAAAAGAGTGGTTCCCTACCCTCAGGGGCTAATGAGTTGGGCTGGGGGTGGGGGGTGGGGATGGGGGGTTCCTAAACAGTGGGCAGAGATGGCACAATGAATTATTGTTTCTTCTGCAGGGCACAAGGCTGACAATCCAGTCACCACCACCCATTCCCCAGTGATTTAAGAATACTGACAAATGTTAGTTGTTGTGTGCCGTCCAGTTGATTCCTACTCATAGTGACCCTATGTGACAGAGTAGAACTGCACCATAGGGTTTCCTAAGCTATAATCTTTATGAGAACAGGGAAGGACAAACAGGTTCCTCCTACAAAATGGCAAACAGCCTGGCAGTTTCAAAATCTGGAGCCTAGGTAAAAGGACAGGCTAGGTTTGTAGATATGAAGAGTACCATACAGTGGGTCAAATGTGTACAATTCATTCAACAGACTTTCACTGAGCTCCTAGTATGTGTCAAGTGCTACCCTGGGGAAGGGGGGTGGAGAGGTAAAGATGGCAGTGGTCAATACTATACGTCCCCTCTTTGAAATTCATCCTAAGCAAATAATCCAAAAGAATGAAAAAGATGAACACGGCAAGATGTTTACTGCAATGACATCTGCAACATCAAAAAGCAGAAAGAACTAAGAATACCTACACTTAGGGAAAAGGTCAACTAATTTATGGAACATCCACTCACAGGAATATGATACACACATTACAATGATGATTAAACTATGCTATAGCACCAGAGAAGGTTTATAACAAGTGAAAACAGCAAAATGTAAAAAGAAAGAGTTTGAAGACCAAAACCATGTGAAAACAACAAGAGGACTAGAGGAGATTATGAAAAAAATAAAAAGCCACATTAAGAGCAGGAAATTAGAGGTTTTCTTTTTTCCAAAAGAGCTCTTTTTAGTTAATACATTGTTTCTATTTAAACATATTATTTCTATTTATTTTTTAAACCCTCCTCGCTGTATGTATCCAAGAGAGAAGTCTCTGGTGTGGGGTCCACAGGGCTCTGACACACTCAACATTAAACAGGTAAGAATAACTGAGATGACAATCTAGGATAGCTCAAACAATCTGCAATCGACCCAGGAAGAAAAGGGGAAAGAAAGCAAAAACAATGATGTCAGAAACTAGGTCCAAAATATTTACCAGAGGTTGGAGAATGGGGCTGGAATGAAAAAGATGAAATTGCAAAAGATTGCTATTAATTCAATAACTATATGAGCACCTTCTATGTGCCAGACATGTTTTAGGCCCAGAGATGCTAACAAAAATCCCTGCCCTTATGAAGCTGACATTCTGAGGGCAGGGGGAGGCAGTCAGACGTTAAACAACCAAGTAAAATAAACGTCAGAGATAGTAGGGAAGAGGGATCTAGAATGCAAAGGCTGACAGCAATTTTAAATAAGGTGATCAGGACCTCATTAAGTGATATTTAAGTAGACAGCTGAAGGAAATGAGGGAGCTAACCATGTTGATTTCTGGAGAGAGGGTTCCAGACATCAGGAAGAGCAAGTACAAAAAGCCCTGAGGTGGGAAAGTGTCTGGCACATTCAAGGAAAAGCAAGGAAGTTAGTATATGTAACTGAAGTACAGTGAGCAAGGGGAAGAGTGGTGGGTGGTGAAGTTAGACAGGTAGCCAGGATCACACCACAGTGGGCCTGGTAGACCACAACAAAGACTGGTTTTTACCAGCAATGAGATGGTAAGCCTCTGGCAGGTTTTGAGGTGAGGAATGATACGATGTTTCAAAAGGATCACTCTGGCTGCTGTGTGGAAAACGGACTGCAGGGGGCAAACACAGCCTGCAATGAGCGCTGGCCTCCAGCCCTGGCCTTTGGCATATGCTACTCCCTCCTTCTGGAGGAAGCACCCTTCTCTATTTCACTAACTGGTGTGGCTAACTCCCTACTCTCTGGACTCAGCTCATGAGCCTCCTGTGGGAAGCCTTTTCCAATACCTGCTCGTCTTCTGGGTACACACAGCACCTCGCCTTCGCAGCACTTATCACAATGGAGTAGAACTGTCTGTTTCACATCTGTCTCCTCTTCTAGACCCAAAGTACCTGGGAGCAGGAACTTAGAATTTATAGACCTAGTACATGGCCGAGGATAGGCTCAATTAATAAAAAACAAATAAACAGCATTCCTGCAACTTGGCCTTACAATACCCAGTGTGAAAAAGAGCTAGGGTTTAGGTGCCCGGAAGTTTCATGAAAACCAGCCAATGAGATTTGGCTGCTTAAAAAGTAAACATGTATAAACTAAGAAAGGGAGGACACACAAGTATACATTAATCTACTCAGTACTTACACGGGTCAGACATTGGAATGAATGCTTTCAGACACATCTCTTGTTTGAACCTCTCATTCACCTTCCAATGGTTAATATGATCTTAATTTTATAGACGAGGAAACTAAAGTTCAGAAAGGAGGAGAGTTTTGTTCAAGGACACTCAGCAGATCAAGAGAAGAGCTGGGTATAGTAGTGACCCAGCTATAGCGGCTATACTCTGATGAGGTCCTTGCACCCAGAGAGCTCACGTTCTGGTAGAAGAGACCTTCAAAAAACAAATGAACAAACAAGATTCATGCAGGGTACGGGGACAAGACTTGGGGGATGAGATGTTACTTTGGCTAGTGTGGTCAGGAACACCTGTGGATGTAACCTTTAAGCCAAGAACTAAATAATAAAGAAGAAAAGCACTCCAGGCAACCAAGGGAAAGAAAAGGCAGTGAAGTACGAACAAGTCTGGCATGTTCAGGCAATAGAAAGATGACCAGTATTTCCAAGTTTTTTGAGTCTCTGCTAATCTGATAGCCAAAATAATAATAATAATAAAAACCAAACATTCTTTAAGTTTTAAGAGTTATTAGTAAAGCTGAAATGGGATTCATTGACTGTTGCATCTCTCCTTTAAGTGTTTTGATTTTTCTACGAATCTTGATTTGCAAAAACTCTTTATGTTAGGTATATTAGACTTTTGTCCATCATGTGAATTATACTTCCCCCAATTTTTTCTTATTTAACTTTGATGTTTTTTTCAACAACCAAAAAAAAAAAACCCAAATCAAACCCGTTGCCGTCCAGTCAATTCCAACTCACAGTGACTTTACAGGACAGAGCAGAACTGCCCCATAGGGTTTCCAGGGAGTGGCTGGTTGATTAGAACAAGAAGTATAAATTTTTTATGTAGTTAGATTTAATAAAATTTTTTCCTGCAAGACCAGAGAACAGCTTCTTGAACCTGACCCCAACCTGTAGGATGGGCTAGGCCTCAATGAGTTAGAGCAAGGAGGTCTGGAGGACTCTCCAGGTGGTGCAGAGCTCCAGCTACCTGTCTGGATCCAGGAGAAACTGCTTAAAAGAAACCTGAAGCTTAGCCCTAAAGCAGCCAAGAAAGAAAAAAAAAAAAAGTTGCCAAAAAGCCACAAGCAGTAACTAGGACGTGTGAATGGGAAAGGGCAGTCCCTGTCAGGCACCTAGTCGGGCAAGCTCAGCCTCAAGGCTGGTCATCCCTGTAGCACTAGCCAACTGGTACCAAATAGCAGCTCCACAGGGCCAGCTCACATCTCAGCTTCCTCTCCTTTTTCCAGAATGGGCCCAACTGGTAATCTCAGCAACCTGGGTCTTTAGTACTATTCACATCGGTGTCTCTGCATCAAGGAAGGAAATAAAGCTCCTGGGTTCTCTAGTTCCCAAGTGCATGTTGCGACAGATGGAAAAACAAGTAGCAATAAAGCTCAAGGATCATTTATCGGCTTCATGTAGGAAGAATAATGATCTGAAGCAAATGATTTACAAAGGAACTGTGACCAATTTGACTACTAAACATAATACTTGTAAAGCTAATGCAAAACAAAAATGTTCAAATAGAAAAGCA